GTGTGTGTGTGTGTGTGTGTGTGTGTGTAGGATATGGGGTGCAGGGGAGCAAGACTATTTATTTATTTATTTATTTTTAAGACTATTTATTTTTAATTGTGAAAATTCTGTCTGCGTCCTGTGCGCTGGGATTCTCTTGTTACAATCAACCTGCAATTTTAACGTGGCGGTATCATTAACACCTGGAAATGGAAAACTTACCCACCTTCCTATTAAAAGAGGCGTTTTTTGAACCAAACATTTTTCCTCCCGACGGACTTACACTTTATTGGTGCGACTGCCCCAACCTTTGTGGTTTGGAGAAATGGGGGGGGGCAGCGTAATGGTAGCAGGGCGTTTCTCTGGGTCAAGATGCTTCTCCCTCTTCCCCCCATCCAATTTATAGTGGTTAGATTCTCAGCTTCCTCAAACGTTCCCTATCTAGCGTTTGTGCTAAAAGCTTTACGGGTAAGCCCCCTTTTCGAGCAAAACTGCTCGTCACTTGTCCCTCGCACAGCGAAACCCAGGTACCAATGGGTCAAGGTTCCCGGCTTCAACATTGAGAGTCACATTCTTGTTGGAAAAGTCCTCAGGGTAGAAAGACGTGTTGCCCGGCTGGTCCAACTGGAGAACAGAAGCGGCAGCACCTGGGATCTCGGGGCCGTCTTCCTCCCTGTGGTTCCCTGGACTCGGCTGAGTCCGCCGCGACCTCAGCTGGAAACCGCGCCCTAACCGAGTACAAAACTCCCTTGGACGAAAGTTTGAAAGAATCGAGTGGATAGACTTCTCCTTCCAACCTGGTTACAATAAATAACCATATAAGTACACCCACATGGAGAGCAGGCGCCCAGATTCGCGGTCCCCACGTGTTGCTGAAGTTGGCGCAGACGCGTCCGCGGGCACAGTGGCGAACGTGACACCGCATTTTCTCCAAATTCCTGCCTTCTAGGGTGGTGCAGCCAGGAGGGAGGGCCTGGGAGTGGTAGGGAAGAGGCTGCGGAATCCATTCGTTCTGCGGCAGCACTGAGGCTTTAGAACAGCGCGCAACTCCGGGGTGCTTTCTCACGACCCCATTCTCCCACTGGAGAAAAGCAGCGCTTGTTATAGATGATTAATAGCTCGGCTTCCCACGATCTTGAGGCGCGTCCCTTCAGGCACCACTACCTTAGTTGTTTTAATTTGACCTTTATTATTAACAGCGTGCTCCCAGAGGCTGGAAACTGAATTCACACCCCGAAGGCCGCCCTCTCCCCACTCCACCTGGTCGGCTTCCTGGGGAGGATACGGGATTTGCACATCCCGCGGCGCCCCCTCTTCCTCCGAAGGGAGCAGGCCTGAGACCCTCTGCGACCTAACACGGGAGCTGTCAGACATCCCCGGGTGTGGTCCGGGGTCTCCCGGGCCTTGGAGTTGGGCGCTGTCTGCAATGCATCGTAGTGGGTTCTCTCTGGCACAATGTGCAGATGTGCAGAGAAAAACAACAACAACAAAAAAACAAAACACACTCCTAAGTACCACTGGCACCTATAGAGTGGCGGTGGTCCATACGGAGCGCCTGTGCCTGGGGGTGTGGGGGGAGGGTACTCTGGCCAAGGGCAGGGAGGGAGGACAGAGAAGGCCGGCTGGCGGCCGGGGAACCCTTCCTCTCTGGGTAACGACCCGCAGCACCCCAGGCTGCAGTTAAAGGGGCTGTAGGCTCTTCTGCACCCCGCGTGCTCTCCCGCCTTCTGTGTCCCCCGGCTTTTCCAAGAGGAAGATGGGGTGCCCAGCGGGGGTGGGGCGCGCCGGGCCGCAGGGCCAGGCTGTCACGTGCCCCCCCGCCCCCGCCACTGCGGCGGGAGTTCCAATCAGAGCGCGCCAGGGGGCTCCTCCTGGGCTGGAACCACCCGGCTCCGCGGCGTAGGGTGGGCCGCTGTCACCTGACCGCCCGCCCCCGCCCCCCGCGAGTAAGGGGCGGTGGTAGCGTCTGCTCGGTTACAAATGGCCCCTCCCGCCCGGCTCGCCCGCTCGCTCCGGCTCGGCGCGGACCCGCCCGGGCGCGCTCCTCCCGCTGGCGCCCGGCATCGTGCTGCCCTGCCCGGAGGCTGCCCGCGGTCCCCGCCACCCCGGAGGGCGCTCCGGGCACCCAGCGCTGAGGCTTGCCGGCGGAGGTCGCGACAAGAGGCTGGACCTCGGTGGTGCGCGGCTTGCGGACCCGCAGGTGAGTGTGCAGTGTGGGCGTGGGATGCCGCGGGGACAGTGCGGGAGACATGCGACTCTACGGATGCGGACACAGGTCCGTGCGGTGCGCAGGTTAAGTTTTGCAAAGCGAGTCCGAGGTCTCTCTCCAGCTCGGCCTCCTCTCGCTGCTTCCGTGGGTTGGGTGCTCCCGCAAAAGCCTCGACTTGGGGGAAGGGCTTCGAGAAATTCTTGTCTTGAGATACTTGACAAAGGTTGAAAAGACACATCAGGTGGAACGTGTGTAGCTGCAGCTGATGGGGGTTACACAGGTGCATTGAGTGTGGCTGCGTGTGTGGCTTCCGGGTGAGGAGGATGCGCCGAAATGGAGCAAAGCCTCTGCGGCGGGTCATTTCATCCCCAAAAGCCACTGAAGTGCCGGAGAGAGAAATTGCACTGCTCTGAGGTGGTCGCTGGATGGTAGGGCAGCAAACCAGTGACCCCCGTGTATCTGATATGCCCCTGTGGTAGCTGAGCAGGGGGCTCGGTGAAGAGTATGTGAGGCGTTCCGGCACCCAGAAAATAGTCCCTTTGCCTTTTAACTCCTTGGCATAAATCAGCATGAAAAGTGCTGAATCATGCAAAAAGACTTGGAAAATAATTGACTTAGTTTTTTCGTAAAGTTTTTCAAGGCCCCTAATATCTGTATTTTTGGAATAATGCTTTAAATGTAAGGTGTAGGCGCTGTGTATTTAAAATCACGTTCAGAGAGACTGTGTCCTTGGCTTTATGACTATTGATTGCTTTTCTTTCTTTAGGATGAGTTGTATTCACTCATTGTCTCTTAAACACTCTACATCCTGAAAAACAAAAACAAAACAAAAAACCCAAGATTTTTTTTTTTTTGGTGTGTCCATGATTGTAAAAGGAGCTAGGAAACCGTCCTCAGAAAGCATCCTCCTTTGATGAGTGCAATGATGGCCAATTTAATTTGTCATATGCCACTGAAGGGAATGTCAAGCTGATAACATACAGACTAGAGAGAAAAAGAAACAGGAGTTGCCCATCAAGAAAGAAATGAGCCCTAATCCAATTGTGCTCAGTAATAGAGTGAAGGGAAGTGCTTCCACATTGGAGCCTGAGTCCTGTTTGGTGGAGGTGGTGGGGTGCAGTTTGTCATGCAGTTCTGAGATCTGACACCAAGTAGCATAAAGATGATTTTTTATAAAACCATCTTTAGTAAAATGGGTGTGTCCAAAGACAGCTCTTGCCAGCTTGCTGTACTGTCGGAACTGCTCAGTGGCCTGCTGACTCATAAGGGAACCAGCCTGGCTTAGCAGGGTTGTTGGATTGTACTTGTGGACTCTCAAGAACCATACCTGTAAAACACAAACAAACAAAAAAAGCTTCAACAGAGATGTCCGTAAAGAAAGAAGCTCGAAGCTCGTCCCTTCCTCATATTTCTTCTTCAAGGCGATCTTCTCCGATTCCTGGAGTTATCACCTTCATTTCAATACCTGTCACCCATGCTTGTGCACAGAACATTTGGTTTGACACAACGATTTTAATTTAAATCTTAATTTGCAACAGTGGCACTCCTGACAACGTGGTTATTTCAAAGGTATTTGGGAAGGATACTGAAACCTGGAATACAGGCGATTAATTGAGTTTTCTTTGCCGCACAGACTCCCTCACCATAGCATGCAAGACCAGGGAGCCCCACCCTGTTTCTGAGCATCTGCATGAAAGGCCAGGAAATGAATTCAGCAATTGCAGTAGTGCAGAGAGAGGCAGTTTCTAGGCTTGGGTGCTACATTTATTTAAAGAATCAATGAAATTTTGCAGGGTCGACTTGTATCCATAGTTAGGTCTTAAAAGCACAGTGTTATTCAATGTCACCTGTCAGCTTGTTAAAAATGTCCATTTAACTTTGAGAGGTTGATTTTGATGGAAAAGGGATATAAGTGGGAGCTGCTTCCAAATTTTAGGATCCTAGGGCTAAAAGACACGATTAGAAGGACATATCAAAGCATCGAGTGAAGCCAAAAGGAATTATTTTTGCTCTGGACTTCTTAATAAAATTTCTTTATAAAAGTAAGGTTTGTTTGTGGTTTTTTTAGAAAGAAGGGACTCATTTTCAGGCAATAAACCTGCTTGCGGCATAGACAAGCCCCTGGCATCTCAGTTAGAACAGAGATGCCTAATAGGGGCAATAAACAGGTGAGTGAGCTTTTTACTGCGTGGTCCTCCCATCAGAACCCAGTCCTGTCAGGTCAAATTAGAGGAAGGCCATCTTGGTAACAAGGCGAGAAGATTTTGAATCTTACATCAAGTCTATAGGAAAGAAAATGTTTTGAGCTGCTCTGAAGAAAGAGACGTTTGTTAAAAATTCCCAGTTCATTATTGTCATCGCCATGCTTACCTGCACCTCCTACTGCAGACAACAGGTCCGACCAAGAGGAAGAGAGAAAGCAAGGTTTCCTTCTTTTCTTTTCTTTTTTAAAAAAAAAACCAAGAAAGTTTTCCAAAGAACACTCACTTGATATTACCACTCACTTTTTAAGGCAAATAAGTCATTTAAAGAAGAGAAAATGATACTTTTCCCTGGCGGCTATTGTGAATTAGTGCATTGCTAAATCTGGATGCTGTGACCAGTTAGCAGTATCTCAACAGTCTGAAGTGAGACTGCAGGTGGAAACTACATGTTCTGTTCAGAACTAATGTTAAGTTCAAAGCTGCTAGAACCACCTCCTGCTTTTTTCCTTCCTTCTTATACTATCTTAACCCTCTTTTAAAGCCACAAACCACACCTACAAATCCTAGCACCTGGAAACCTTTGAGATTTCACCAGGAACACACCATCAGGTAAATTGACTGTGATTTTCTAAATCACACGAATCATTCTAAAATTGTAGATTTCAGCTTTGGCATCAAGAATCACATTGGTAGAATGTCTCTGGTGCTTTCCTCAGACACTGGCTCCCCGGCAGCTTGGTTTCAAAGAGGGTCTTGTCCTAATATTAGCAGTGATGATTATTTTGTGGCAGTTAGCTCTATCCACGTGCACAGTTAATTACAGTGTGAGAAGGTCCCAGAACAGTGCCTCCTTGAGTTCTGACAGTGAGTGTGTACACAGCACTGTATGAAGCGCATTCCAGAACACCCATCTCCCAGTGAAGGGAATGTGCTGGTTGAATAAACTCCTAGGCTGCTTTAAGCCTGCCAACCAATGTCGTCTTTTACCATGTAAGAGATCGTGTTAATGTACACTCAGCTTTTGTAGGATCTAGAGAGCCCTGCAGGATGAAGAGGGGCATCTAATATCTGACTTCTTTTAGAGTTGGACTCTACCATTTTCTACCTGTTTCCATTTACCTTTTTCCATTTAAGGGTGTCCAGTTATATGTATTTTGCAAGGGAATTAAAGAAAACACACTTTCCACTTCACTTATTACACGGAGTTGTAAGATAATATCATTGGCTTTAAGTATTTAAAAATTAATATATTCATATATTTGGGGGGGGGGTGAGTATTGGGTTGAGTATCAGTAGGGAGTTGCCTTTAAAAACCCGTCTGGAAATCGCTGCTTTAAAATTATGACATTAAATACTTGCACATATGTCTCTGCAGAATACGAGTGCTCTTTGTTGGGCATGTTTTGCCACATACACATCCTACACAAACTAGAATTGCTACTTAGGATTATTCGGTTACGTGTTTTGAGGTGGTCAGGCGAGCTTTTATTTGTTGTCCTGGTGCATGTTGGGCTCTGATTCTGCTGTGCTTGGGAACCTTAGGACTTAGGACCCTCAAGAAGAGGTAGCAAACAAATACAGTTGTTCATGTTATAAGCAAAGTATATTTTTTTGCAATGTGTCTTCTTTCAGGTTGCCAATTTAAAAGTAGTCATGCTCTAGGTTTTAGACCCAGAAATCATGAGTAGTAACTTTTATCTAGATGGAGCACATGATCCATCTCCTCTGGTCAAATTACTGTAGATTTTCTGTGCGACTCGTGAAATCTGGATGCTGTCCAGGCTGCTAACGATCTAAACATTTTGGTCTTCCAGGTGTTCCTTTGATACAGTGGATGGTGACTCTGCTCTTCTGCCTGAGAGTGGTTCAAAATGTAAGTTCAGCAAACTGAATCATCCCATATCGATAATTCTGGGGCTCTATGCAGAGCAGTTCTTTCCATTTTCATTCAGTCTATCCAAGATTTTAGCCTCACAAATAAGAGTCTAGAGGGAGAGGCTATAACCCCGTTGGGTGAGGGGAGGAATGCCTAACATTTGTTCACTGTACAGCGATGTAACTTGATACATCTGCCATCAGTCATCAGTTGGCATGCTTCCTATCCCTCCCCACCACAGTATTTTTCTGGGAAAAAATATGAATCTTTGGTGTCTGGGTAATGCTGAATTGACACTTCCCCAGATGTCGCATCTTTCTGGGTGGCCCTGGCTCTTCTAATCTTCTCCCGGCTCAAGCAGACAGATTCTCCAATCTGGAGACACATCCAGCCTCAGGAGCCGAGTTCTTTTCGTGCCGGATGAAATCCTGTGGTTACTGTCGAGCTACCTTTCCTACCATGCACATGAACTAAAATGCTTCTTTTGGTTCAGCCAATGAAGGTCACCCTGTTGGGATCTGGTACACTAAAGTGATAAAATGGAAAGTTGTTGAAATATGCAGGAGGCCATTGCTCTGTTGCACAAACTCGTTGAATGGTGTGGGATTTTAGATTTCCCAGGGACAGCGTAGGTCTGCCTTCTCCACTGTATGGATATCGAGTACTTCCAAGGATGGCTCTTGATGGAGGGCACTGTCTCTTCTTGAAAAAGCACCCAGTGCTGGTTTAGACAACCCCTGCCTGCTTCTTTAGAGACCTCAACATGTAGTTTAATATATTTCTGAAAAATTTGTAGGCGTTGAAAGCATTTCATCAGTGTTCAGGGTATAGAAAGATGATTTTTATTAGGAAAAACATCTGCCTTACCTTCTTTTGCCCTTGCTTTTCTGCTTTCCTGTCTCTGCTCCCTTGCCCAGACATGGATTTCCATATAACTCGGTTCACTAAATATCTCTCCGTTTTTGTGTTGCTGCAGAGTTTATTGCTAGAGCTGCTAAGAGACTTTCAGCACAAATAGTATATTGATCACTTGAAATCCTATTTGAGCTTGACTGCATATACATAATGGGGTGTCAATCGGGGGGGAAAATCTCATAATAAAAGGCAGGCAACTTATATGCATGAGAAAAAATGTCTTGGGCAAAATATCATGTTTACTGTACCATGACAGACTGATTTTGCTGGGATCCATCCCATCTGAGTCGATATTTAATAGCAAAGACAGGGTTAGAAGACCCAGATCCTGGGACCTTCCTTTCTTTGTTTATATGGGGAAGCGTTTTTGCACACTCTATACAGTACAAACATCTTCTAGCACCACAGCCAGCAAGAAAGAGCCTTTCTACCTGAGGAATTCAGAAATTGCAAGCAAATCTGGTTAAGTTGGTGTAGATTTAAAATCAGCTCCTGATTTATGCAGTCCATATTTTTTTTAAGTTTTTACCATGTATGTATCAGTACACACACTCACTGTATGCAAATATTTTCAATGTGGATCGGAGAGCACGGTCTATTTAGAGAAAATCCTGCTTTACATAAATTATTGTAGCCATGCGTTAGGAAAGCTAAATCTTTTTTTTCCCCCCTTTTTAAATTTCCCACTGGATGCTAAAGGGATCTCAGTTTTAAAGTTTTACATGTAATTTGTTAAAATCTATTTTCCTGAGTGAGCAGTGATTATGATGCTAGGTATTTCTGGGCAAGTGATGTTTTAGGTTTCATTCTGTAGCTGACTTACATGTGCCATGGTTGCTACTCATTGTGTGAAATCTGACCACAGAGGAACCATAGGGTATTGTAGTAGCTGTAACGCTGCTTCCCCCCACGTCAGTGTAGGGTCCTATCCACTTTTCCAGCCCACTGGGTGGGGCGCAGCCTAGCTCCCATCAGAAATTCCTTGTCTCCTATAAGTGAAGGAAGCCAACGGACTTTGCTAACCAGCTTTTAATTTGCTTTTTTTTATGGCAAAAAAAAAAAGAAAGAAAGAAAAAGAGAAAGAGAAAGAAATCACACGCTAGACAAAAGCCTCCTCCAGTTCCTGTACAGTATTCAAGATTTTTGAAAGTGTATTATGGCAGTTTTCAATTTTTGAATCTCAGGTCATATCCAATAACCAGAAGAATCTACTTATCATAAAGAGTGTGTGAAATAGGACAGGAGAGGCTCTTAAAGTATACAAGACATGACCTCAGGCCCTGATCATGTCTTTTTTATTCCAGAGGGTTTCAGGAACTTTTGCTTGTTTCTGCCTATTCATTAAAATACTCCTGATTTCTTTTTCAAGGTTTCTGATGAGAGAATGCAAAGTTTGCTGAGAAAATGGGATTATCTGAGAACCAGCCAGGTGCAGAAGTTCAACAGTATATGATTGTAGGAGAACTCACATTTTAATAATATCTTTTATAAGTAAAATTTTATATCTGTATATTCCCTTAGGTATGTATACAGTTTTGTAACAATTAGAAACTATTTGTAGTACGTGGCTTTTTGCACAAAGAGAGGCAATCAAATGTGATAGTTTAATTTAGGGGGATAATGTATAGATTTTAGCAAAAGCTAAGTTGTACAAGAACTTAAAACTGAGGAATTAGCTATTGAAATAAACTTTATTACTTTTAACTTATAGAGAAATGTGTGTCTGCAAATGTTAAAAGTAGGACTCACTGGGTAGCACCGATAAAAGAAAAAAAATGAAATCTCGGGGTAAAGAAAATTGGAAAGAAAAAATTTCCCAGAGAAATTCAAGTCTGAAACCTGTATTTTTAAGCCTTGCTATTGTCTTAAATTTTGGATACTTTTACTAATTTATTTCAATAAACTGAAGGGAGCAAAATTAATAGGGACTAAGTTAAAGTTACATAAACTATTTTCCGATTGAAAGATATTCAAGATTATGTGCTGTTAATATAAATACCCAGTTTTAACAGATTGCTTGCTTACCAGTCTTTACCATTTTACAGTGAGAATATTTAAAGACAAATAGAACATGTTTAAGCACATATCTTTTATCAATCTTCTCAGTAGAACTAAAAACATCAGTATAATCACCAGGTTCTGGGTAAAGCTTTTAAATTATTTTTTATATAAAAACTTTATTCAATGTAAATTTCAAAAGCGGAATTGAGTTTGCAGCTGTTTCACAGAAATTGACATTATAATTTCTGAGGTTTGATTTTTATATTTGCTAGATGAAGATAACCAAGTACCTGGAACTTCTGTATTTGTATTGTCTTGGAACTGCTATATTTTCATAAACCGAAGAGTCTGGGCCCTCTTCCATTAATTAGATGCAGCGTATTTAAAGTTATATGCATTTAATAGAAGAATAGCAGTGGAACCCAATTTTCCTTCCAGCAAGGATTTAAATAATAACTAGTTTGATGCAGTAGATTCAGGAAAATATGCTTTAAAAAAAATGGTGCTTTTTTTTTTCACTTTAATAAAAACACGTTGGGGCAAAGTAAAGAAAAATTGCAATATACTAATTCAGTTATCAGTGAAGTAGTATATCATTTGGTGTATATTACTTTTAATAAATCTAGCTTTACATTTAATAGAAACTTTATTTGCAGGTTTAGTCACTCATGCTAATAGAAAATCAACAGTGTGCTTAGGGCTTGTAGCCACTGAGCTTTTTGTAACTTAGTTTCACTAAGAGAAATGCTGTAACACAGAGGAAACCTTTATTAAATCTCCATGGACTTCTTATGAACCCATATCCCCATATAAGAGGGGGTCACAGCCAGCTGATGACTTCTTATATTATACTTGTCGCTTTATTAATAATATATGTATATTATGTAAGTATATACTATACTTATTACAAGCAGATTGTTTTACTTTAATGCAGATACCATTTCAAATGAGACTAAACCATTCTAGTTTAGTTTGAAACCTAATAATACTAAAAAAGAGACATAAAAAATGTCCTATGTAACATTAAAGAAAATAGGCCTGACTACTTCCCCAGCTTAGTTTTTGTTTGAGGTGCACGCTGTGGCAAAAGTTATTTTCTTACTGACAGGCAGATCCACCATGGTTATGTTGGAATTTAGTGAAAGACTAATAATACATGGTGATTTTTTGTTTTGTGTTTGAGGGGTGTGTGTGCGTGTGTGTGTAGGCTAGGGGTGAGGGTGGGGCACTTTAAGGAATGGGAGTCTCATTTTTAAAATTAAAAAAATCAACTTAAACCAGTTAATCCCACTTCCAGGTTAAATTTTTCCATCTAGCCATGGCCTTGGCCCCCTCAGATTGTGCTTCCATCACACTGACATAGAGACACACAAACCCATCATCTGATGGACTTTGATTTTGTCTCAGTCAAGCAGAGGGGGTGGCCAACCTGTGAATTTTGTGCTCAAACCAAGAATTTGAAAATGCAGTGTCATAGCCGGTGTTAACCCCCAGCAAGGTGACCACGCCTTCTTCAGAATCATTTCATTGCTGTGCTCCTTTGATATTTCTGCAAGCTCCTAGACCTTTTCACAAATGTTTCAAAATCATTTTTCTCTCTTATTGCATTCAAGATAAGACTTAAAAATATGAAACCTACTGCAGACCCACATTGTCAGTCTCTTCTGCTCCATATAATCTCAGGAAATGATTGGTGGCGAGGGGGCATGAATTTTCAGTCTGGACAAAGCTCTACCTCAGGCCTTTGTCATGGGGCTTGTCTTAGGAGCTGGGTATTTGCAGAGCTGGGATGCTGAGTTACAGCAGACAGACAGGCATGCTCTCGAAGGCAAGGATTTAAATTGACAGTTAAATAAAAAAACAGCATAAGGTGAACATTTATAGAGATGAGAACTGCTACTGTTTCTTCGGAGACGTTAGTAAATGCCGAAAATCGGCCAAATTCCAGTTTTCTTTTTTTTTTCCCCCCTTTTGTAACAGTCCAGGAATGCCACTGATGGTGGCCATGATGACTAAACATATTCTTAATTTTTCTAGATCTAAACATGAGGCTGGCTGGGTTCCTTGGGCAGCATTGTCTGGTGGAATTTTCTGTGATGACAAAAATGTTCTGTGGCTCCACTGTTCAAAACAGGAGCCCCTTGCCACATGGAGCTGCCAAGCACTCGAAATGTGGCTAGTTTGCCTGAGAAACTGAATTTTCAAAATCTTATTTAATTTTAATTAAAATTAAGTTTTAGAAAGCCATGTGTGGCTAATGGCTGCATACTGGACAGCGTTGCCTCAACCAAGGGGGTGGAGGGGTCAGGTTTGCCGTAAAGTCCTCAACGACGTGCGCGAAGGGCTGTGCACACTCCAGGAATTGGAGACTGGTCAGTGCTGACCACGGCACCCTCTCAACATGGTGGGGCCTGCACAGCTGCCTAGGAAATCGGGGTCATGCTTCCTGCATTCTCGTTTGTAGCCTTAAATAGAACGGAAGCCTCCCAGTCTGGGCACAGTGTGTGATATTGTTACTGCTGCGCGTGTGTGTGTGTGCGCGCGCGCGCGCGTGTGTGTGGTGTGTTAAGAATGCTTAAAATGAGATCTACCCTCTTAACAGATTATTAAGTGTACAATACAGCATTGTTATCTATAGGCACAATGTCATACAGCAGATTTCTAGGACGTAGTCATCTTGCGTAACTGAAATTTTATACTTTTGATTAGCAGCTCTCCATTACCCTTCCCCCCAGCCCCTGGTGACCCCCCTTCTGCTTCTTTCCTTCCATGAGTTTGACTATCGTTGCTGCCTTGAAACCTCGTCCCCGACTGGGCTGCCTCATTTGTCCCAGAACCTCTCTGGGTCTTGGCTGGTTTATTTGGCTTTGAATGTACATCTGAGGTGCTCTGAGAGAGAGGCCTGGCTTGGGGAGATGGGTTTTGGGGACAGAAGTCGGGATTTGCCCTTCCAGAAGGTCCTTCTGCCACTTCTTCCTTCTATTTGGCACCACGCCCTGTTGCAATGGTTAGGGCTTCTCCATCTGATTAAAATTTGGGCCCCTATGCCTGAAAGGATTTTACCTCGAGCGCGCTTAAAAGAAAGGACAGACCCCTTTAGTCAAGGCAAGACTGATTAAGAAGTTGTGACAACTCATTCATCCCACAGTGACCTCTTACTCAAACAAGCTAAAGCTTTCCCCATAAATGTGGAGGGTCTCCTGACTGGATTGATCGTGACGTTTTCAGAGCCTGTTCTGGGACATGAGTCCTTGGGCGAGTGGACTTATTCCTGGTGGAACTTGGTTTCTGCAGCACCCACCATCCTAAGACTTTACAGACAGGTGTGTGGGGTGGCATAGGAGTAACGGATGCCTTGCTGCTGTGACCATCCCCTTGGTGCTCGCCCAAGGCAACCCCACGCTGCCAAGCACACACTGGAGGTTTTGATCTGTGTGGGAGAGACAGACTAAGGGTGACAAACGCAGGTGGGTATGGCAGCATTGTCCTCAGGGAGCTCACAGCCTGCACGCCACCAACTCCCCCTACAGGTGCGATCCTGCAAACTGGCCCTACCTCAGAGTCACCTGGGAAAGTCTTAAGGAAAAAATATTAGTAAACAAATTCCTCGGCCTCACTCGTCATTTGTGGAATTAGGACATTTCTTTCAGCTCTCTCAACCCTATCTTCATTGTAAGGAGGTTCTCAAAACATGCTGATACAACTCAATTAGAGTCTCTGGGGTTGGGGCTTGGACACAGCAGGATGTAAAGTCCCGTGGTACTTCCAATGCAGCCTGCACCTGGCTGTGTAAACAGAGGAGTCTGGCTGGGATGTCCACCCCTGTAGCTTGTTGTATTCACTTCTCGGGCACCTGCTGTGCATCAGGCCTTCCCTGCCGTGATGCTGGGTTTTAGCATCCTTGGCCTCACCCTCAGCCTTGTCCCCTTTTCCTGCCTCCTTTGCAGTCTCTTTGCTTCTGCTCAGCCCACTGAGCAAATGACCCCCACGGCTGCATCCCGGCAGTGACTTTTCCAGACCCAGCTTCCTGGCTCCTGTTGGCGTGCCCCTTTTCCTGTTCACCCTGCTCTGGAAATTGGGGTACAAACCTCAGCTGCTCCCCCTCCCACAGTCCAGTGTGGTGCCTGAGTCCTGCCACGTCCACCGTGGTCCCCTGCAGTGCCCGGTTTCTCTGGGCACTCTGGTGCTGTCCTGGTCCAAGCCGGCACCACCTCACGCCCATGCTGATTAAAATGGCTCCGAGCTGGTCACTGCCTCCCTGATTGCTCTTCTCGCCAGTCATCTCCCGCAGATGCTGAAACACAGGTCAGTTCACAGAATTCACACCACTCAGAACTCTGAAGGGCACCTTGGTGAGGACCGGCCCATCCACAGCTCTGTCACGTGCCTTCATGGCCCCCGCCACACGGGGCTGCACGCTGGGCCCTCCATACCCTGCAGCCCAGGCCTCGGTGCACG